GAACTGACCTCGCGGGCCGTAGTTTGGTGACCCCTGTTTTAGAGCAAAGCTACATTGGGTTATCTGCTGTGTCCACCGCGGGAACTCGAATCCTGGATATTAGCGTTGTAAATTCATAAACTTATCGCTATACCACTACTTTTAAGGAGTGTTTTTATATTGGGCAATAGCATCATAGCAAGTGGTTCTAGATATCACGTCTCTAGACATTTTTATTTCGCCATAGAAAGAAAACTTATATTTATGGACTCGCCTGTTTTTTATGTATTTTTATTCTTTACTACATCTCTCGTTTTACTGTTATCATGATGTCCGGGTTTTTTATTAGTGGCGGTTAAGTAAAAGTGTCCTCAAAAATGATAATCCTGTATACATTCTTTAAGGAACAGTGAAATTTATAAAATACACACCAGGGAAACCAAAAACAACGATAACGGTAATGTCTATTGTAATGATCAAAATCTAACAAGAACAGTGAATCCTAAACCTGTCGTACTTAACTGCATAACTTTTCCTTCATATTTTATTTGATCCGCATCACCAAAGGCAGATAGAGGAGCAGCGCACTCGGATTCCACCCTTTGATTTCTATTGGACAAGTAATGAGATTGCAGTATTTGATTGGTCTTGCTTCTATCACTTTGTGACTTCTACTGGTTCTATAACGAGGTTACAATATCTGATTCGTCTCATTTATGTCCTATAGTGACTTGTTTTGGCTCTGTAATGAGATTACAATATTTGATTGTCTCGTTTCTCTACAAAAATATTTCTGTTGGCCCTTTAATGAGGTTACAGTATCTGATTGATTTCGCATCTATCGTATTGTGGTGGATATGATCTTGATAGTCAGTTGTGTAATCATTATTATTTCAGTCTTCTTTTGATTTATGAGAAATATATTTTTGTTTTAACCTCGGGAGCACTCAGTCCTTCTTGTTCTAAGTAATAAGCATCATCTTTGACCATTCGCCAGCTGGTCCCATAACCAAGTTTAGCTTTCACTCGTGTCACAACGTTACAGCAATATCCTGTTAATACCGTTAAGTGTCATTATGTTATTTATCAGCTTTCCGTTCACCTGTAAGGCAGTACAATAACGATTACCAGTGTTTCATTTCGCCTGCTTACACACACATCTTGGATTATTTACCCTTACCTTACATGATATCCTGTTCATCTGGACGCTGTGGGAATCTAGCCACCTGTCGTTAGTATAGATCATTACAGCACAGTTAAACCAGATAAGTTCCACATCGATAAAGAAAAACAAGAACTCGCCTTAAGCTTAGTTTTCAATAGACGTAAGCTTCTTAATCAGAAAATATATTACTGATATTACTTTATGAACTCACGTTGAAATTTGATATCCATTTTGATAAATTTACGGGTAAGGCACAAAGTAAAATACAAAAGAAAATAGCTATAGGATAATGTCTTTCGAATGTAGACTTGTATATTCCCAATTTATAAATTACTTGCTACACGCTACAGCGGTAAAGTTTACTTTAATATTACACAATTTTTTAAAGTCAATGTCTATTCTGGTACTAACAAGAGGGAATCCTCAATAGCCGCGGCACTTGAAAATATTCTAGGCAGGATTAGAGTAACTTAATCTATGAGACCTTTTTTTCTATTTTATTATCTATATTTTTGTGCACCAGCAATACAATGCGTGAAGCCCGCGTATACCTGATTCAATTTTATTACTCATCAGGACCTATACCATTCTTCCCTCAAATTGAAATTATTTTAGGCAGGATTAGAGTATATTAATCTATTAGACCTTGGGCGTGGTCGAATACATCAATCGAAAGGATTTGACCTTCTGAATCCCAAACTGTAATTAAATCAGTCACGAATAACGGAACTCTGAGCTTAAAGTTTGTACTTGAAAAAACAAAAAACTCAGAGCCGTTCTATGAGCCGCTATGCCGCGGCTAAAAAAATGACTAAATCTTAAACTTCTAATAATAGAAAACGAGAATTAAAATATCTGTATCTTAAAAATGCTGTTACTAGATCTTGCATTACTGTCTTGTTGTGCAATGTTATTTTTAGAACAAATGTAGATTTCATAATGATTACAATATTTAAAAAAATATATTATTGTAGTCGAATACCTCCCCCGACGCCATTTGGATATGATAAAAAATATAAGGTTCAAACAATAACCTTAAAGTGGTTTTTAGTGTAGTACCTGAGCTTTATTATTTACAAAGAAGGGCTACTATATTTTATTATTGTTAGATTTTTTAAACAGTCTTTATGCATTTTTTGAATTTAATTAATTATGTAAGAACGGCTAGTTCTAATCTTCAAGAAAAGTTTAAGGTAGATGAAGATATCGTGTATATATATATTGCGAATCGTGGTGCCTATCACCCGTTTACGGGTGATGCTTCCCGTGCTGCGCTTGAAAAGCTGTGCATGCAGGCAAATCTCAACATTAACTTTTAAAATGACGGGTGAACAAGCATGAATAATGTTGATGCCAAACTTTATTTCACAAGCAGGATGTTCTACATCAAATTGTTAGGAATTAATCACACTATCATTCACATTTCAAAATGTGATATAACTTAAAGAATAAAAATGTAGATTTACCGTATGTTATTTTGAGCAGCTTTTAGCATGTGGGCGGTATAAGTAGCTCAAAGCTATGGCTCTGAACGAAACCAAGAGTGCAGCACAATTAACATTTTTAAAGTCCATGAAATAATTTAGATTGGCAGATGAACTTAAACTCTTCCCGTCACTGGGGACGGGTACTTTTGCTTGTTTGAAGTAAATCCAGGTCTGACAAGTGAATGAAGTTCTTTAATGGAAGAAAAACCGTTTATATGTCACAAAAAATTATAAATAACCTCACGTTATTTGTGGTCAGAACAGGTAGCAGAAGTACTAATAACAAGGCAGATAAAATACTTGTTTTTAGCTTTTTTAGCAGATACATTTTTTTCTTAATAATTACTAACTTAGAGTTTAGCACGTGACTTATAAAATGGTGAAACTCTATCCGAAGTTCTGGAAAGTGTCAGGATATTTACAGTTTTATTTTAGATTAATTAACATAGCTTTTGTTTTAATAAATTCAAATTAAAACTAACTGTAGACATTTGTAAAGTATTTTATATTTTTTCGGTTAAGAATATAATATACTTCTGTTTCACTTATTTTTAAACTTTTTGGTTACCATGGTTTGTTAGAAAGTATGTGTGATGTCCACACGAAATAATAAACCATCATTATCATTCGATTACTGTATGGCATCCTCTAGCGACATAGCAAAGGTTAGTGAGCGTGATATTTACTAAATATACAATCAATTTGAAAACCTCGGGAAAATTCCTCAGTACTCTCTTTGCCCCTAAGAGAGAGCCGGTTTATACATTTTATTAACTAAGTATTACAATCTAACATCTGAAGTGCATGTCACACATTATGTTGAGAAATTAGTGATAGCCTGGAAATGTAATATATTTTCAATGAGTTCACAAAGTTTTATTGAAACTATCCCATATTTCTTAACGATCTACATTTTGTTCTTAGTGTCATTACGCCATCAAAATAATAACATTTCTAAATAAATTAATCATTATTTTTGTCTAATGCCAAGTGAACCAGTTCTATTTGTCTAACAATATGATTAATTGTCTTTCACTGCTATAAACATATATGTATAGAATGGATCCGTTCAATTATAAGTCGTCAATTATTCAGATTCAAACACTACGTGTATTGGCATTGACAAATCTTTTAACAAACGTTGCTAGGTTTACCAAATTTATTCCATGCAAAGTTATCTTTCAGAGTTAATGGTTTCATCTTTAACAAACGCGTTTAGATTTCTTATATACATTACTATTATTACTTAAATAATAATCACTTACCACTCGATCGGCACGAGCGGTAGTTTAAACTGAACCCTTTTCTCAAAATATTTCAAAAAATATGGAAATTATATCCACAGTTTTAGAGGGGAGGGGGGAATAGTGTAAGTTAATTGGAGATCATAGTTTTGACGAAAGTTTTTTAAAAATCACATGACACGTGATTCAGGAAAATTCGACTTCAAGAGAAAGAAACCCGTATTTCATGTATTTCAGAAATATCCGGTATGACTGCGACGTGGTGTGGTTCAGAAGAAGGACTGTCATCTCAATGGTCTTTTCTTTCATTATATGTTAATTAATAAGTTTATCAAGTTTGATTTCACTAGAGCTGTACTTTTCAGCTTGTCTTAAACGTTAAATAAAACTGAAGGGAAGAAAAACTAGTTGAAAACCAGTGAAATGATTTTGTTAGAATATTTTCAGCTCACAAATTTGGCCCGTTTTTCTGAACAGTAATAACGAGTTTAGTAACAATTAAACTTAACCATCTTGCTATAACTTTTCTGAACTGAGTAACAATGAATGGTGAAGTCACGATGGATTTTTAGAATAAAATTCCTAGTTTCTATGTAGATGTGTTGTTCTCACACGGAAAATATTAAGGTAAGTGGACCAGTTTTCTTGAAATGTTTATTTGAATATTATTGTTATCTAAAGCAGAACTGAAAATTTATTTAAGCAACGTAGCTTGTTTCTAAAGGAACACGTAGGCATTTTAAATCTTATCAGGTTAAAAAGATACCATTAATTTCAATTCAATTGGACAATTTTTGGGTAGTTTCCTTTTCGAAATGAAAGAAGTGACCAAACACTGTCCTCAAACTCACTCCGAGGTATCGTGGTATGTTTGAATAACTAATAAATTCAACGTGCATATTTTGTGTAAAACGTAACTTACCCATCATTGTGAAGCTTTTAATAAAATAATAACATTCATGGCTGGTTTGTTGTCCAGTTTTATAACACTTCGTAACGGCACCTCCATGTGGGGGTGAATTTGAGTTTTGGGACATAAGAATGAATATGTTATTGAGGCTACGTTTGAGAGGGGATTAAAGGGGTGTAATGTACTTGATTACTTAAGTCAAATATCATTTCGAAATGTAACCAAGGCAGTCTTAACATTAATTATAATATTCCCTCTTAAGACTTAAAACAAAAAACCCAAAACAGGTTCTGGATCTCAGAACTAAAGAGATTCGGCAGAAATTATTGTACACATATGTATATATACCCACACTATAAAAACGTTTTGTGTTTGATTCAAACATTCGAATTAGTCTACCCTAACTTTATAAAATATTAAAAAAAAGCTAATGCTTGTAAGGAACAGATTTAACTTTTCGCAGATTTTTAAGTCTTTAAATGTTCATATAGTTTCACTTAACTGGGACTTTCTTCTATATCGTAGTTGTATACAGTAATAGTTCGTATTATTGTGTGAGTGCGTATGGATCAAAATGGCTACTTAACCATAAGGTGCTTCTAAATCACAGTAATTTATTCAAATAGACGTAGGTGGGTCGGGATAGTTTAATAATCATAAGATACTTATGACTATTGGGAGTTCATAATAGAACGTCACATTTTTTTGTAACAATGTTTTGTGTTAAAATATGCGGCTGGTTGTAACTACAGTGTGACGGTATATTTTACGTTAGTGTTTGTAGATTAGGATAGTTACTTGACCGTTTGTTACTACAGTGTGTTGGTATTTAATGTTCTGATGTGTAGGTTAGGATAGTTACTTGACCGTTTGTTACTACAGTATGTTGGTATTTAACGTTCTGTTGTGTGGATTAGGATAGTTACTTGACCGTTTGTTACTACAGTGTGTTGGTATTTAACGTTCTTTGTGTAGATTAGGATAGTTACTTGACCGTTTGTTACTTCAGTGTGACGGTATTTTAGATTAGTGTGTAGATTATGATAGTTGCTTTATTAAAGTGAAGTGATAATTTACGTTAATGTGTATGGATTAGTCTAGTAATGGTATTGTATATTATATTTACGAGGAATTGATTGCGTATTTCTTATAATCAGATATACAGGGCTACCTGAAACCGCATTAATAAGAAACAAATACAAAACATTATCCTCGTAAGATTATGCTTCAAATTGTATCACCCATTCGTAATATAACTAGGAACTGTTTATTACGTCTTTATGTGTTAATAAATGTTTTGTTTTAGGAAGTTACAATTTCATGTGTTCATTGATGTGTAGTAAATGTTTTGTTTTAAGGAGTTACCATTTCATGTGTTCATTGATGTGTAATAAATGTTTTGTTTTGAGGAGTTGCGATTTCATGCGTTCATTGATGTGTAATAAATGTTTTGTTTTGAGGAGTTACGATTTCATGTTTTCATTTATGTGTAATAAATGATTTGTTTTGAGGAGT